GAGTTCATAATACCTACCTACACATACAAAAGAAGCCATCTTAATCAATGCTCGGCTTAGTAGTGTGCTAACTAAACAAAGTCTTAAGAAAAAAGCTATAAAGTTAAGTACTTAAATACTATGCCTGTGAATATGAATATCAAATATGAAGCTTTTTTAAAATACAGCTAAGAACAAATTAGTTGGTTAAATTGTTGCAATTCCTTTATTCCTTAAAATTTACTTTATGTTCCTCTATTTTGTGAAAATAGAAACCTCGTCAGCTACTGAGCTCTGTCTCATTTTTATTTCAACTTCCAATGCATTTACGAATAGATTAAATATTGCGGTTTACGCAGCTGAAATTGAATTTCATGTATATCCTAAAACTATGTCATCTCTTTAATAGAAGGTAAGATATTGTAAAATGCCATTTATACGACGCAAAAAAAAAATAATCATAAGTCACTACTTTACAATACCCGTTTGCGATTATGTATAGCGTCACAAATGCTTTGTCCAAGATTTATCCTCTCATTTTGTATTGCATTACACTCAGTTTCGATTACATATTAATTCAACAAAAACTATTATTTTTGAGGAGAAGGCTATCAGTTTCTCATTTCAAAATGTACTTGCAGTTTAAGGATATACATTCTGCGTAGGGAAAGCTTTATGAGTAAATTGATAAGAAACATCTAGATTGGAAAACGAAATCAGTCTTTATCCATCTACATGATTTCTTCTAGTGCTATACACTTTTTATTATCTCCAGACCTTTTTCTGTATGCCTTCATCGAAGTCACCTGTTGGAGTTCTGTATTTTCTTTCTAAAGTCTTTCTGAAATTCTCTAAAAATGAAGCTGCTCAAAATGAGATTTTACTTCAGGGAACAGAAAATAGTCCATAAGTGCCAAACACTGTTCGAAGATAGTTGCAGTGTAGGAAGAAATGTTTATTGCTTCTCATTGTATTGTCTTTGAATGCATGAAAACAGATAGCTGCTGCCTAATAAATATTAAACAAAGAACTCTAATTAAACTTCTTCCCACTGTAGAACGATATTTTAAGCAAAGAAAGTTTAGCTATGTTAATAATCATTGCAGCTGCTTAAACTTTTACAGATGTTCCTGAACTGGCTGAAGAGATACAGTCCTATATCTTTGTACACGCACTATATATTTTTGGAAGCACCATTAAATTTTCGATTCGTGTTTTCGCAGCGACTTATTTGCATGGACTATTGACTTATTGAGAAGTCACTGCATTTGTTAAAATTGAAATTATGAAATACGAAGAATAAAGGATCCACTTTATGGATTTTAATGAGACACTCGTTTTATAATCAAGACTCACTATAGATTCATGAATACTTTATCCTTGAGAACTACCTGCCTCCTTTCTCTGTTTGTAATAGTTAGTTTATTTTGATTTTACTTCGCTGGAAAATGCATAATAAACACCTGCAGCTTTCTTCATATACGTAACGAGCTAATTTTCTTCCAGTATTCACAAATCATTAGTTGTAGTGCACTTGCTAGAAACTGGTTTTTGCAAGTTTTTTTCTGTCTTAGTGCTCCGGACTGAAACGTCTTATTCCCGCAGTAGAGAAATCGAGGACAAGTAATTAAAAAAAAAAAAATGTGCAGTCGAAAGGGAATTTGTACTTTCCCCTTGTTCTTTACGCTACTTCTTTCTTTCAAAATAGTCTAATTTCATTGTATTGTAAACATTTTTCTGAATAATTAGTATTTTCTTTGTTCATCCACTCTCCTCCCCTCCCCCACTTCTTTCTCCTTCTGCAGACAATATTTGAGGCATTTCTCCGTGATATCCCATTAATTTATTCAAAGCGTGGTTTAAATTTAATGTGCTTTATGCTACACTACATACGCCATGTAAACGAGTTAAATGACTTAAAAGCTAACTAATTTTCTTTCCCTTAATTTAGAACCTACATAGAAATTATTAAATTTAAACTGAGTAGCTTATCTAGTCTTTGAACCAATATCACAAATCACTGATATATTCCATTCAGATTACGAAAACTAATAAAAATCTACGTTATGTGCTCGTTTCGAAGATCAAGAGGCATACTGCCGGTGGAAGTAAGAAGACTGGGTTCTGTAATTATTTTTACTTTAAATTAATTTAGTACATTCCAAAAGCCTGCGAACGTATTATTTATAGTTTTAGCTGACGGCATTGTAAACAACATTTTCCTTTACCGTGTTTTGACGCCGATTGTGTAAGGTTAAATCTGCTTTAAATTCTTAATATGAAAAAGAAAGCTTCTCAGTTGTCATTAATAGGTTGTGTATAGGTCTGAAAAGTACTTAAACCACAACGATAAACTCCTGGGGTACGAACGGGAACTCTGCTGGTCTTAATTATGAAAAATAATGCTTTGTCGTGTTCTACATTAATATTATTTATTATAAGCAAGTTATTTTAATTATTACGTATTAGGTGCTGAAGCCTTAAATCCGTCAAAACATTTGAGTTATTTTTTAACTAACAATATATAACTATTTTCTAAAACTGAATATTCTGATACGTCCAACTGTAGTAAAATTTTATGAATTTACTAATATCTAAGATTAAAATATGACATCTGTATTCCATTTATTGAAGCTCTTAGCCGATAGCACTTCATCTTCCGAAATTTTTATATTTTCTGTAAATATTTATTGGTAATCTTTCACTACTTTCTTTTTAAAATGGCTCCGAAGTCATCAAACAGTATACAAGCAGGTCTGTCACATTTTCATTAGTATTCAAGTAAGTTTTTACTCAAATGCTAATGGAAACTACGATTTGTTAAAAGATCGCAGAAACTGAAACTTACGATGCGCTCTTTCGATAATTAGAGTGTTTTCAATAGAAGTCTCCAATTAAACAGAATCCTTTTAATTTCTTTTTGTATTTTTCTTGCTTTCAATATACTGCGGAATACTGGTATAAAGATGAGAGAGGAATATTGATTATATATGTTACGGTGAAACACCGAAATCTGGAGAATGTCGACTTTCACCGGTGAATGTCAACATTCACATAGTCGCTTGGTGTATGTCCGAAATATTTTCCAAATACTCTTATTTCTGACTTACACCGGTGAATGTCGACATTCACCATGTACTAATGGTGAATGTTGAACATATAAGAATATTATATTTCCTTCTCCGTAATTCATTCGCCAAAAAACGCACTTGAGACTCAGAATTAGAACTTAAGAACATAAGAACTTAAAACACACAGTACATTCAAAATGAGAAAGGAAAATAATAGAAGTTATAAACTTACCAAATTATGTGATTCAAATCTTATTTATTGCAACAACTTAAACTATTATGACACTTTGAATTGCACAATCTTCTTCTTCGATTCTGAACTTCAAATAATTATTTTGAGCGTGAAGGTGCAGTTGCCCCTCGCACCCTATTTTTAACTTCGCTAATTTTCTTGTCCTTTGTGTTACATGTTTGATCAGATAGCCTGGCTCAGTAAAAGTAGGCGGCCAGTGTAACTCTGATTAAAAATCCGGTTAACCACGTGCAGTGCTGATAAGGACCACGTGTTTCTGAGACTCCTTCCCCTTTATTTTTCTTCTTTCTAGGTATTTCTTTCTCCTGATGAGGAGGGACCTTTAGCTGCCCTCGAAATCGATTGAGTGTTTCAATATACTTACGCTAAATACAAGGTTGTTTTTACGATTTTGATATCTGTGATTGTCGACATACACCGGTGAGGGTCCGAATGTACAAGAATGTAAAGAATAGTCGATCTTTCACCGACGTATTTGGTGAATGTTGACATTCTCCGGTGAAAGTCGACATTCTCCAATTTCGGTCTTTCACGGTAACATATACACAGTACAGAGCCCGTATTCCCAAGACTTGCCGCAGATGCACGAAACTGCTAATAATAACGAAAAAACTATTATTATTCCCCTCTAGATCAATATATTTATATTACATACACAATAAATTGATAAATTTTGCATAGTAAGAGATTATCAAAATAAACAAAATAATAATAATCTGTTGTGTATACATTGCATACTGCTGTACCAAATAAAGTATCGTAAAAAAGTATATTGCATTCTAGAGTATACTCTTTCTCGTAGCTATAAAAGAAAGGGATTTCATTATTTAAATTTAATCCTCATAAGATGAGTAAAAAACAAAGAAATGCTCTTCTTGTATTGTATAGCATAAAGTACTTCCAAAGGACGATAGAAATAATAGTCATAAATTTTCGTAGCGCAGATAACGCACTAATAGTTTTCAATTCATTCAATCACTTGCAATATTCATACTGTTATGTTTTGGAGCCCTTTCTTGTTGAGATAAAAAAAATTAGATTACACGGCACTAAATTTGAAGAATAATTAATAATTAATGCAATCTGAAAGACATGTATTATACATTGAAAGACATGTATTACAAAGACATGTATTATACTCTGTGCTCGTTGATAGCCACAATTCCATACCAACAAATATTTTGCCTTCAAGTCCGATTTGAGATTGAAATGCTGGGATGATATCTTTCCTGTAACATGAACGAGCCTCTGGCATGTTATGACAGTACTGGAATTTCTAAGCTATTGTATTTCAGTTCTGTAATAAATGTTGTCAACTGGCTTGCAGATCGGAATTACGACATATGTGATCTTTTTCTTTGCCGCAGTGAGCCGCGGATAATTAAAACCACAGTTTTGAATCAGAGGATACTGAGACATTGACTGTACAGAATAAATTATTCCGTAAATTCCTTAAAAAAAATTTTTTTTTCGTAATATATTTCATCTGCCATGCTGATGAAATGCATTATTTTCTAAATTTCAGGTTTACCGTTTCCTCCTTAAAAACATTTGATTTATCATAAATTACCCCATTTGTGTATTATATTATTTAAAGACTGGATTTTTACATGAAAATTACCTTTTTCTGATTAATGCTTTGAATTTTTTTAATAAAAATTAATACAAATAATTTATGTTTCTTCATTATTTTTTAGAGATCACTGCGATCCTCCTTTGCTGACGACTCTTCTAGTACCGAAATTTCCTGTTTCGCAGACGATAACAAGATGGCTTCGAGTACTGTAAGAAGTAGCAGTGATACTACCAGTGGTTTTAGAGAAAGCCTGCGGTTTTTCCAGAGCCAGGTGGACAAAGTTAATGTTCATCATGTTACTACTTCCACTCCTGCTTCCAGAAAATCCCAACTCTTAAATGGTCATAATAAAACACACGTTTCTACCGAAATTGGAATTCAGAGCAAAGCAAACCCACGTACAGCAGTTCCCAGCGTTGATAATATACTAAATAATGTGAAAAGCATATGTGCCAGCCGCAACAGTAAAACTTTTGAGAGTACAACCTCAAGAATTTCATCTGTTCATAGAAGCAGTAGCAGTAGTGAAATTTATAACAAAATCACTCCCGTAACCTTTCAGACATCTGACGATCAGCCGCAGAAACTCTGTGAAGGGGTAACTAGGAGTGAACAAATTACTACAAAGCATAAAACTGCGGTATCGGATCACAGCAAAAGCCAATCATTGCTAAGAAATTTCAATCCTGTCTTCGGCACTGAAGAAAATGTTGAAAAGGAAAGACCTTCAAACCTTCATGATTCTACGCATTCTAATTCTACACATTCGAAAACGAATATCGGGTCTTCAAAAATCGAACGCAGCAGCGCTGAGGTAGATTCCGCTGCCAATGCTCTTCAACATTCACTTTCGTTGACGAAACTGAGCAGCCCGTCTTGCTTAAAAACCGTATCTGATGCTGATGCTATTTCCAAACAGAAAGACTTGGACAAAAGCGTGGAAAAAGTAGCCGAGATGAACAAAGATGAAACTGTAAATATTCAAACAAATAGAACATTCGGTCAATGCAAAGAAAAATTGTCAAAAATGGAACTGAATAAAACTTTGAATCTGAAAAACGATTCAATAAGTAGTGATAGTAAACTTGATTCCGCTCTTGATGATGGAATTATTGTAAAAGAATGTGATGAAGGCTCATTTGAAAAACAGAGCGACTCCTTTGAGTCTGACTATGATTCTCAAGACTTTGTCGTCCACAAAGCTACTTTTCCAGAAGATTATTTGGAAGCAATGTCAGAGGATAATTACAGTTCTGTTAATGAGGACTATGAGGTTGAACATCCTGATGAACAAACTCATGGTCCTGTTACACCATCACCAGATTACGGCAGTGATGAAGAAGAATACCAAGTGCAACATGGAGATGTTCCTCAGTATGAGGATGTAGAATTCATTGATAACAGTGCTCAATATCTGAGTGATCCCCGCCGTTATGCCTATTACCCAGATGAGTTAGAACTTGAAGTAATTCCCGAGGAAGATGAAAATGATATCGAAGATGATGATTACGATATGTACAGTCATGAAGTTCCGCACAAGAAAGGTTAGTTAACAGCTTTCTGAATTATTTTTTGTATTTGATAGCACCCGTGTGCTTGTTAAGAAAAATTATAAATTAACTTCCTAATCAGTTTCTGATCATATTACATAGATTCTGATTTTATAAACTTAGTTTGAAGTTCGATATTAAAGATTTGCTTTTAAATTGTGAATGACTAAATGATAAATTTAAATTGATTTAAAAATGAATGATAAATTAAAATCTGATTTATCAATTTAGAGAGATTACTTAGTTGGTAAAATTTCTATAATACTCTAGTCGGCTGTTCATAAGGGAAAAAAATCTGCTGAATATTTATCTCAAAGATTTGTAAGGTGAGTTCTAGCTTAATATTCTTCTTAACTGCTTAGCTGTTTTACTGTGCGCATCTGACTAGCTTTAAGCAGGAATGAGCTAGGTTTTGCCATTACAGAATTTAAATAATTAAGGAATAGCATAAATAAATGAACAATATCTAAAATACATTTAATTATTAATACCCTGTCAGATACACAGGCCCAGCACCAAGCTTTCTCCTTTTCGATGCAATTTCTACGTGGCCTAAATTCTGCAGCTCGGTACGTCCTAAAATTCTAAACATTTTGCCTTCCCTAAATTCTAAAAATTTTGCCATCTCTAAATTTTGTTGTTAGGTATTTCTTCAAATTCTAAAAATTGGGTCACCCCTAAATTCTGCCGCACGGTGCAGCCGACCTGGTTGCACTAGCTCTGGCGCTGGCCCTGTGAGATACAATAAACTCAAAATGACTGCAACTCAGTCTTAAATCACTTAATAGCGGAATCAAAAAATTGCGTATAAACTTAATAACAGCCATCACCCAATACAAACAATTCTTCCAATTCTTAAAACTAGAAGGACAATCGGCCGTATAACTTTCACAGTTTCTGACCTACAGAAGATTAAACTGAATCTCATTCCCCAACGCTTTTCGCATTTCTTTTACAGAAACCTGCTCTCGCCTAAATGTGGCTCTTCGCAGAAAACTCAATAGCCCGAAATATTTATACAATAAATAAAATGAGAATCAAATATTAATATATGTTTTTGTTAACAGGAAAATCTTTAGTTTTATAAATTTATTACTAATAAATGCGGTATAAGTACATTTCTTTGAAGAAAACATTCTGCTATTTTTTAAATCTGATGCAAGCTGTTTCACAAATCGAAGTTTTATATTAATCCTATAGCTGACTTTATACCTTAACTCGTGAGAGAACAAATGTAAGAAAAACCTTCGTACATCAAGTTTTTTTTTTATGATGAATTAAGGGTCATTACACATCTGAGACGTATTCTGAGTTTTTTTGATAATTTTCGTTCGTTGATTTTTCAAAATACGTTCCCACCCATCTAACTGAAATGACTGACGGGTGTGCGTTATCCAAATGCCCAAAATGCGTTCACTGGAGCATAATGATCCGAGTTTTTTCCTTATTGTGAGAGGTATGAGTAACAAATCACATTCCTATCTCTAATTTTCCAGATGAACTATTTTTAGAAACCCTGATTTCTGTATTGCATTAAAATCGCGACAGTACACTTTAAACCTTGTTTTCGCTCGCGGTAGAGGGGTATTTTTTTCTGTATTGTGCTTGCTGTAAAACAGATTTCTATGGAGATTACATTATCATGTTTTACATTGTTCGAAAGTAAGTACAGCTCTATTCTTTTTAAGTCATCTTTGGTTTATTTTGTTTTTAAAGTGCATATCGTTATTTCATATATTTTTAATCATTATAGTTTTTTCATAGTCTCAATATTTAATGATGTAAGCTTTTGCTTAACTGTAAAAACTTTTATAAAGTACTTTTTTAAGGGTCAATACTATCCGTCCTACCCGTTTTGCCAAAACTGACAGAAGTATTTTCGACATTTCGTCCCCTTTCAGTTATTTTCCTTTAACATTGAATTATTTGCACTAAGTGTGAAGATAGTTAAATAAAATATCCTTTATTTAAAAATGTATTTAATTAATGTACTGAAAATCATAAACATTGCTGCAATTGAAGTTTGTTATAAGTACTTTTTAATTAATGCCCAGAGCCAACGTTATTTCTACGTTACCTTCCTTAGCCCAGCCTCATTTGATTAAACAAACGAACTAGGGGATTTGAAAGCCATAGAGTTAGTTTATATCAGGTGAATTACTTTATATGAGGGATGGTTAAATTTCTTATCAGGGATAGCTGCATACTAGGATTCAAAAACATTTAAGAACCGTAAGTAGATTTACTAGGAGCCGGAACTAGATAGTTATTTCCTTTTAAAAGCAGCAAAAGGGCTTTTGCATAAAGAAGAAACTTGTCAATTAATAGAAAAATGGCACTGCATTTTTTTAATTGACGTGTTTGCTTGATGTAAATTTAAACTAAACGTTTCGACATGTACTGAACATTCATTTTTTCAACAACAACAACAAAAAAAATCTTTTTCTTCTGGCTGTCAATTTTCACACATAAAACTACTATTTATTACTATATGAGTCGAATTTAAAGGGGCAAAGAGCCACATTTTGGCCGTGCCTGGTTTGTATCGTGAATAAGCAAAATACAACGTACTCTAAAATGTCTTATACAGTTATAAGGAACGTATTTTAAGAAACTCTATGTTGGTTAAATAGCCTCCCTTAAAATGTTATATGTGCCCCACAGCAGTGTCGTATACTTCGAAATGCTATGCAGTCTTATAGCAGAACATTGGGATTAATATTTGTAATTGCTACAATGCACCCCCCCCGGTCTGTCTCTGATTAACAATGATCCGTTTTCTTTCACTATAATACAATATATTATCGCTACTGCAAACCGGGAAAAAAAAGATTATAAAGATATGCAGCTGTCATCTTGATTGCCAAATTAAGTTAGAAATAAGTGCCATATTAAAAAATCTGATGTGTACACCACATGACTTCCTTGTACGGAATATTAAATTATATGCATTTTTTCTTGCATTTCATTTAAACTTTTATTGGATTGAATTAAATCTACTTCGCCGACAGCGCATAAACCACAATAGAATAAATGCATTCTTTAAAATTTTTGTTTACCATACCATAGCGACACTCTGACGCTAGATTCACTTAAGAGTATTATATTTCGTTCATATTATAATTCAGAATGTACAAAATTTATATCATTTAAAGAATTATCTAATCGTTGCCACATGTTCTATTCAAATACTATAATAAAGCTAGAACGATGTATAAAAGAAATTAAGCAAACAAAACAAAAAAGAAACAGTTTTCACAGACGATTGAGTATTTCTCATTCAATTAATTCAGTTCTCACTTCGCGACAAGGCAAAAATACATAAAAACTCAAACTATATGTATTAAAAATTACGAAGTAAATCTTAAACACATATTTCCTCGAAAAAAATTCCAGAAAGGATTAAGCATGATTTAATTCGCAATAATAAATGAAGGCGTTATCTTTGTTGTTGCGAAGCTAAGTTTTTCTAGATTGGCAACAAATCCACTAGTCTGCTGTTTCAAATGTAAACAAGCAATGGCCGCCATCAAAAAAAATGTTAGGCTTAGCGGCACTTAAACAGCTTTAAAATTGTTGATAATTCTAAAAATATTGCATATAGATTTACTAAAGGCATAAAAACCTTAACCGGAAGATAGGAATAACATAAATCAATCATTTTTAAAGCAAAAAATTTACAATCTACAAACATATAAGAGCAAAGAAACTGAGATCACTGAGCCGGGTAACAGACTGGATATATATATAAATACATTTTTATACGTCTGGCCGATCGCAACCAAAATACGAGGTGCACATCTACATGTTATAGCAGTCCTATATACAAAATTTAATCGTTCTGAGGCTACTCGTTTTTGAGTTATGCGAGATACGTACGTACATACGTTCGTACAGACGCCACGAAAATTTCTCTTCAGAATTCATTTTAAAGCAGTTTTATAACTTTTTTTGGAGGAAAAGAATCTTTTATTCTGTCCTTACGTACAGATATCACGCAAAAACATCGTTAAATTGCATTCGATAGCGGTCAAAATGGATATTTTCGTTGAAATAGGCTGCCTGAAACTTTTCGCGATTACAATACTTCCTTTTTACTTCATACAAGGAAGTATAAAAAAGAAAGAAAGGGCTCAAGCCAAAAACAAAATAAATAAATAAATTTATCCTGAAATTTTAATATCTATATTATAACAAACTATAGAGCTAACATAACAAAACGTAAACTTGGAAAACGGGTGCCCGGATTTAAAAGTGTGCGGTATACCAGATTTTGCTATCTTTTAAGAAAAGCTGGTCTTGAATGTATACGAGTTAATAAGTTTTACATTTTTGCTTAGACTACGCATTTATTTTGCCGTAAATAGCTATTCTGTGACTTTAATTCATTGCATTCTGCTATTATTCTGGCATAAAGCTTTTATACACCACAAGTAACGATTTCTGGAAGAACCGGCTATCATCGTCGTGCACAAACATTACGGAAACTGATTCATAATTAATTCTTCCGAACCTGTTTTTTCCCCACACTTTCTTTCTTATCATCGGGTTTTTTATTGGAACAAACAATTACAACCGTAATAATATGTTTTTTATCATTGCTTTTAATTAGTGGTAGGAACGTTTCTCACATGTTGAAATTGCCGAGTTCGTTAAACCATTGATCTCTCATGGACTCAAGGTCAATAGGTGCGTTCACTGCGCCTTTACGTAATACTGTCGAAATGCGTGCATTAGGCCGTAAATATTCGTAGCTTTTCGTGATATACGTAACGGTTCAGAGAGAGTCAAGGTCTTCCCTCGTACTCGACCTCATGAGCGACATTTTTACTCGTATATATTATCTGTAATTTTTGTTTCCCCAGATGCTGACATTTTTTCCTATTCGTCAATTTTTTGGTAATTCGGGAGGAGGGAGTTATTAACTGTATAACACGATAACAATACAATTATACGCTTAATCAAATGATGGTGCTTCATAGTTGCTCATAGGT